AGGGAGTTCACTGCAGGCTTATGTAACTCTCTCTGGCATTCCTTCTTTCACCTACGTTCATTTGTTTTCTTGGTTTTTGTGAGCTTGTGTCTCACCCTTTGCCTTTTGTGCTCTAAAGCATACAGGTGCCCCAGAGCTGCAATTTACTTCTGCTTTCTTTTACCTTCTGCCTTTTCCTTCCTGTTTCCCATTACTTCTCAAGTCAAAGCCATCATCGGTTTCCCCCTTAAACAAGAGGAAGACAGATCCAGAACATCCGAATTAAGACACGCTTTGCATTCACAAATCTCGCAAGTATTTTTGGAGCTACAAGTATAGCCATTACTGCCTTAACTTTTTAAGCCAAGTTCCCACTACGGGATTTTAAGCCCGATTTGCAAATCGTTGAGCTCGCCGACAGGTCAGGGTGTTATCGGGTGCAAATCGCGGAGGATTAGCGGGTGATGAACGCTCACCAATCTGGTATGAAAGAGCCAACAACGCATCAAAGATGCTCACAGACGCCTCGCCAAGCCCAGAAAAATGTCTAGCATGCATGACTCAACCTCAGTGATGTCATGAGTTACAGCCAATCAGAGCAAGGCATGGGTTGAGGTCAGTATTCTTCGCTGGGTATTGGCGTGCGTTCTGTTTTGCGTCATTTTTGGTTTCTTTTATCGCGTGATTTTTCATGAGTTGCTGTCAACTCGCGTAGTGCGTTACCTCCTGTTGCGGATCAATCACGTTGTGTTGTGTGGTGTGAACAGCTCAACAACTTGAACACTCCTGATTTCACAGAGAGAAAGTCATGTAGTGTGAACCCCACAGTTTAGCCCAACGTTTTAAAATCATGTGTGAACAAGGCTTTAGTCAATATGCAGTATGTGGTATAAAGTTACAAAGCTGCATCTTACTTCTAAACTGTCCATTTTTGACTTGTACTGTAGCATTGTATTCTGAATCATTTTAGACTGATTCAGATTGTTTAAGTGGTTTACTTGTGAAATGAGTTAAATGAACTAATTCATTAATTTGAGATCTTGCTTAGAAGTCATTGTTACATGGGAAACGGGAACCGGTGAAGAAAGTGCACAACAACATACAAAACCTTACTAAGAGTGAATGAGTGAACAGGGTACAAATAGGCTAGGAAGACTAACAGGCTGATGAGACACAGGTGAATGCAATCAGTGAAGATGAGTCCAGGCAGTGAATTATGGGAAATGTAGTGTGTGGCAGATCATGATCATTTTTTTGTGATTATTAGCTCTATTCAGTTAAATGTAAATGTATTCTGCGTAAAAAGCTAAATGCTGTCATCCTAATTAAGATGTCCTTTGTTTTTCCAGATAAATACTGCTATGATTGTAAATATGATTTAAATATAATGTTGTTAAAAAGATGGAGATCCAGACCAGTTATTTAGCTAAAACTATTTTAGATTGCTTAAGTCATCTGTTACAGCATGAAAATGATTTATCAAAACTCAAACGGTAAATAATATGCTGTATATTTTCTAGATCATGAATAGTACATATTTTTACCATTCATGACTCTCACGTTGCTCTCCGCCATTTTGAAAAGGTCAAAGGTTCTCATCTCGGCAACTCGTGCATCAAAATATTCTACGAGCTGCCCAGTGGAAAATACCACATGAGGGGGTGTTCATGCGCATTTTCCACGTCGCTTTTGGTATTTACCATAATTACCATAGCACACGAACGCACCATTACTCACCCTGAAGCCATCCTAGGTGAATATGACATTCTTCTTTCAGATGCACACAATTTGAGTTACGTTAAAAATGTCCTGGCTCTTCCAAGCTTTATGATGGGAGTGAATGGGTATTTTTTTGGAAGTCCATTAAAGGGCATCCATCCTTGATAAAAGTGCTCCACACGGCTCTGGGGGGTTAATAAAGGGCTTCTGAAGCAACGTGATGCGTTCGTGTAAGAAAAATATCCACATTTAAAACTTTATCGACTAAAATAACTTCCTTCTACTTCTTCACCACAATTTTCATTTTTGGGTGAACTATCCGTTTAAATCTCTGCAGTTAGCATCTTTTCTTTATCTGAGTCTATTCTCTAAAGTAGCTTTACTGTAATTTAACTACTTTGGGAGTTGCTTTGTTGACGTGACAGCTTTCCGAACACTGCTAACATAGGAAGTCGTACAATTTTTTTTTTTTTTTTTTTTTTGAAATGTCACCAGTCTGTTGTACTCTCTGTGCTTTGAGGAATACGTAATTGAGCTTTAAGTGGTTGGAGGCCTTTTAGCATGTCATTAACAGTCATTTCTGTTTTTAGTCTTTACTTCATGCTTTTTTCTTACGTGTCATTTGCCACTGGCTTCAGATGGAAGGCCATAGAATGTGAGAGATTCATTATTCAATAAAGTTCTCAGCCACATGCAGATGGAAGGAGGCAGGAGAACATGCCATTTGCCCATTTTCTCATAAAACCTTAATACATCTCATTTATTATTCTTACGGGATGTCTCTTAGTTAGTCTTGGGTTTGTGTCTGTAATGAACTGTGAAGGAGGATGACATGGAAAGCAAGGAAATGTTCTGTTCGACAAGCTTGGGGCAGATTTTGTGATTGACTTATTGAACTTCTCATGACTGGAATTTGATATACAATTCTGAGAAAAGCCTGAGAATACATTGAAAATCAAGGTTTTATTTTTATTTAAACCTATAGTGAACTAGAACTAGATTTTAAACTAGAATTGGGGTATACCTGAAGTAAATATCTAAGCAAAACCTTGGGTTTTGCCACTAATGGGTCTATAGTTGTATTAAGAATTTAGGAAGTGGCAAGTCTTTATATAAATTGTTTGATTGACATTAGCAAGTCCTGTACTTGCTATTATATTATAATATAATATTTATATAAAATAACATTTTATAGTCAGATTTAACCTCGCCATTGGCATGCCAATGAACTCATGATGAGAAAAAAGAAACTTGGAAGACATACTTGGAAGACATCTGAGTGTTTTGCATTACACACAACTCTTTGGTCGCGCTACGTTCGCTTCATCAGGCTGACTGGTAAAAAAGGTGATTTGCACCTCCGTCATTGTCACCTCTGTTATTAATTTGTCAGATACACTCTGTCAGCCAACCTACATATCTAACAATTGTCAGCAATATTAAGCCTACGACAGAAAGTCAATATCACCCTTCGGTAAATGGTGACAAACTTGGGTTCATTACATTTCCATGGAGCAGCTGTCATAGCACTCATTCTTGGCTTCACATTTTACCTCCCAATATCCGCTAATCCTGTCAGAATGCGTCAGTGTCAAAGCATAACCCTTGAAGGAAACGGGGGGTCGTTGCTACACCAATGATTCCATGTCAAGCCTGGGTTTTAAAGGTGTTGCTGTATGTTTTTTCCCCACTGAACTTATGCATAAAAATACCATAATATATTTGCAGATTTTAAGGAAATATACTGTACCAAATTCACATACTCATTTCTCAGAAAAACAATGCTACAGCCAGTTATTTTACTTTGAAGTGTGCCTCCGTGTCGGAATGTATGTTTTTGTTTTGGTCTCTGTGATTTACCCAAATAGTATTTCGACAGAAAATGCAGCGTGTTGCAGTGATTATTGAAGCCAACAAACAAAATGTGTCAGAGATCGCAGATTCTAACAGCATCCATCTAAAAATCTCAACAAACGGAAGCATACTAAAAGGTGGATAAATCAACTCATCGACTTACTCAACAACTTAGCCTTCCATTGTCAATTTCGCTCAGTGTCCTCAAGCTAGAAACCGGCGTGATCGTTGAGTCTGAGGAAGAGTCAACTCTTTCCAACGTTTTGAATTTGGACTGCAGTACCCATTTCAACCACTAGCTGTCAATAATACACACTGCACCTTTAATGTATCTTTCAAGCCTAGTAGTGAATGTTTTATAAGCAATTGGACAACAACCAAAGCAATGTTGCAAAATGCTTGCAGTTTTTTTTAACCGCAGGAGGGCCAAAAGTTATATAGTGTACTTTTAATGATTTAAAAAAGGAACATTTATCTCATATTCATGTAAAGCTTTAATCTGTAAACAGAATGAAGAGTAAACATATGGGTTTACTATTG